CAGGCTGGGCCAGGCTGTGCCATCGCAGCTGGAATTACAGCCACACCGCCAAATTAGCAGTGGGCATAAATAAATCCGCTAATGCCCCCCGCGGTCGGGGCGGCCACCGTGGGCCAGAGGAGCGGCGCAGGCGGCCGAAACTCTAGACGCGTGTTGAGCTCCAGAGAGTCGCTTAATGGGACTAGAACCGATCGTGTGACCCCCACCAATGGATTGCTCTCCGAACGAGGAATCCATTGGTGGGGTCACACGCACGGTTCGAGTCCTGTTCAGCGACTCAGGAGCTCAAAGCGCGTCAAGAGTTTTGGCCGCTTCCACCGGTCTTCTGGCCCACTGTGCGGGGCGCGCGGTTCGGCCACCGCGACCAGTGCGAAGGCAACGTAAGAAGTATTAATGACGCAGCTGGCGCCGAGCCAAGAGGTAATTAGCATTATCAGGCGACGCCAGGATCACTTCATTTTGTCAACATTTTGCATTTTGGTTTACAAGCAGTGCCTTCGCGCCGCCGTCGCCTCGCCGTGGAACGGTGCAGTGGAGAGAGAGAGAGAGAGAGAGAGAGAGAGAGAGAGAGAGAGAGAGAGAGAGAGAGAGAGAGAGGGAGAGGAGAGAGAGGGGGGGGGAGTTGCCTTGCAGAAATTTAAGTACTACACCGAAAAACGGTTCCTGGATTTTCCAGGAACTCCCTGGAAACCACGTATGCCTATGGCTACAGGCTTCCTGAAAAAAAGAAATCCGTTGTTTTTTTGTTGAGTAGGGACAGACCGCAAACGAAAAAAAATCATGAAATATTTCTTTCCTAAAACACGCCAAAACACCGTGTGAAAGAAAATAATTGGCCTCGTGGGTGAACGAACTATACGCCTCCCGGCACTATTACAGTGGAATGCACCCTCCCCTCACCGGCCCAATCCCCACGTTAATTTTTTAATGGCTGCCCTACTTGGTCGTTTGGTCCGCCGCCCCTGCGGGGATGCAGCAGCATCCATTCAACTTTCTAAACTGCCCTTATCAAACATTCCATTAACACGAAAGTGTGTGAATATTTCACCGCTTTCCAGCGTCACGACGTGATCGAGGTAGTCGGGGCGGGACGGGGCGGGGTGGGCGGGGGGGCGGGGCGGGGCGGGGCGGGGCGAGGCGGGGCGGGGCGGGGCGAGGCGGGGCGGGGCTTGGTGGGGAGGGGAGGGGTCGGATGTGGCTTCAGTGGAACGAAACTTTGAAAAGCCCGCGCGGCAAGTAGTACCCAGTGCAGTTGCTTTCCGACCGCCACCGCCTTTACCGGCCAAACCACGAGGCTCGCCGCACCGACCTCCAACAACACCCACGCACCTAGCCACCACAAAAAAAAAAAAAAAGACAAGTTACGATTTATGACTGACACTAACGATAACGTTGATATAGACCTTCGAGATAAGTTAAGGAAAAGAAAGGATCCCCGAGAAGGATAGAGGAAAGCTCGAACGGTGCAAGATTCGAATCATTATGCCGCAGACTACGTTGTCAGGGGTAAACTTGAAAACTCGTTGCCCGCTCGCCGGCCCCGCCCAAGGCCCAGCCAGCCTCGCTAGCGCCGGCTAGACTCGTAGACTCGTCTCTTCCCACGGGGAAATAGCCCCGCCTTATGAATATGCGGAATTGGTAATGGTGAACCAAATGCCGCCAGTGCTTCCTCCAGCCCGGTGCGGACTAGCCGAGAAGAAAAGTGCGCGGACCGTAGTGGTACTTGAACCCGGGTCGCCGATGCATAGTGGACAGAGGAACGGTAGAGGCGGCCAAAACTCTAGACGCGTTTTGAGCTCCGGAGTCGCTGAACAGGACTCGAAGTGAACGTGTGACCCCACCAATGGATTTTTCGTTCGGAGAGCAATCCATTGGTGGGGTCACACGTTCGGTTCGAGTCCCATTTAGCCACTCTGGAACTCAAAACGCGTCCGGACTTTGACCACCTCCAGCGGTCCTCTGGCCCACTGCGCCACGTGGTTATCTCGTGTCGCTGCCCGCCCCGCGACGTAATAAGCCCTTTCACTTGGTCCCTGGGCGCCGTGCTGGGCGCCCTCACGGCCTCACTAGCGTCACCACACTGTGTGGAAGCGCTGCTCGTAGTCTGCTGCACTTTATGCCCTCACATGAAAGAGATAAAGAGATGGAGAGTGGGACGTCGGCAGTCAGACGGACAGACAGGCAGACAGACTGGCGAGCGGACAGGCTAACGGGACAGATGGTAAATCCTGATGGTGATGCTCGCGTCGCGGGGCCGTGACCGCTGCCCGCTCGGCGGACCGAATCCGAGGGTCGCTTTCTGTCTCTCTCGCACACCTGGGGCGGAGGTGCGAGAGAGACAGAGCGAGGACTGCTGGCCAGCCGTTCCCCCCCGTTGCCGCGTCGCCGATACAATCTCGTGTCATTTCGCTTCGGCGATGAACTTGACATCCGAACGGACGGGGCCGGAATTAGCATCCAAGAACAAAATGACAGCGAGCCGGAAAACACGCCGAAGAAATAGGGAGAGAGAGAGAGAGAGGGGGGGGGGGCAGTGGATCACGTGGTAGTACATCGCACAGTGGTCGTCTACGGGGCGCACGTGGAGCGCGGCACAAGCGGTCAAAACTCCAGACGCGTTTTAAGATTCAGAATCACTAAACAGAACTCGAACCGAACGGGTGACCATACCAATGAATTCCTCGTTCGGAGAGCAATCCATAGGTGGGGTCACACGTTCGGTTCGAGTCCCATTTAGCGACTCCGGAGCTCAAAACAGGTCCGGGATTCAGACCGCCTCCACCGGTCTTCTGGCCCACTGTGGTCCGGGAATCACGTAACGCCCCCGGGCGGGGCCACGCGTCGCCATGGCGACAGGCGATTGCTGTCCTGCGGTCCAGCAGCATCCTCTGCGTCGCCACTGGAAGCTGCTGGAAGCTGCTGGAAGCCCTGCCGAGCTGGCCGGCTTAGTGGTCAGCGGCGTAGCTCGCGTCGCTGCAGCGCACGTGTAGCGCCGGGGGCACACTGCCGGCACGGCGTACCGCGCTACTCCCCGGACGGAGTGTTGGTCTCTCCGGGGCCCTTATCGCTGATACATAATTCATAGGGACCGCTCTGTGGACGGCTGTGGACGCGAGGAGGAGGGGGGGGGGGGGGCGACCGCCTCCCCCTCCCCCCACTTCTGGCAGGGCTGGCCTGGCTGGCCTATTCGCGCTCGATTAGACTCGAAAAGGCATTGGCGTGGCGGCCGACATGACGCTGGCCGGAGACCCCTGCAGACTGATTCCGAGAGTCGCTCTGTCTCTCTCGCACCTCTACGGGACCCCCCGTGAGAGCGAGAGAGACAGAGCGACCCTCGGAAGCAGTCCACGGCGCCTTTTAAAAGGCGCCCTTTCTTTGTTTGCGTTCTTTTCAATTGTTTCCACCATTAACAGAAACAGCCGCCGCAATGAGTGTGTATCGGATTATGGAAACCGCGAGAGCTCGCGATGGAGAGGGGGAGGGGGAAGGATTTCCGGTTGCGGGCAGCTGGGTTGGGGTCCCGACCCGTCCGCAAGAGAGGGGAAAAGGGTTTAATCCCGGCTCTTTCTTTTTCCACTTGTCAATTTTCTAATTGGTATCTACGTGGCCGAGGTTGGGACCACCACAGACTCATTATTTTTTCCCTGAGACACCACACCGCAGGGAGGGAGGGTTTAGCAGTCTTGCGTGTTTTGCTCTCATTTTCTCACAAAAGCAGTTGCCACACAAGTTGGCAATAAGCGGTTCCCAACCTCAGCCAGCTCCCCACACTCAAAATATGGCATACGTTGGAACTGTGTGCCTTTGTGGCCCGCCCCAGTTTTTGGACTCCTGGAATGTTTGGTCTCCTTATAAAGAGTAAATTACCAAGTGGGCAGGCTGAGGACGGCAATCGTTTCCACACCGACGCGTCGAGGTAATTTTTCCCTATTAGTGTGGCTACGCGACGCTTTGCAGTGTGGCTGCTGGGCTCGGCCGGGCTTTGGCCTGGCTTGGCCGCGCACCGGCCGCGCCCAATGGGCACCAATGGGCTGTCGAGTCGTCCCGGGGCCTACACTGTGGGGCTACGGCGTGCGGGGCCAGCACAACGCAACGCAGCACAGCCCGCACAGCCGGCGGCGGTAAGCCATTTGCATCCCAATGCACTTGTCAGCCGACTCGGCTCGGCTCGGCTCGGCTCGAGTGTATCATGATTTAGGTGAACAGACTGTGCGTAAGCGCGCCGCACTCCCAGACGCCCCGTCCCGTCCCGTCCCGGCCCGGCCGTCGCGTTGCGACAACACGGCAAGACAAACATGAAAGCGCGCCTCGCCGGCAAGGCTGCCAACCGTTTGCCCAACTACTTACAGGCGCTGCCAACCTTGGAACCCGGCAGACTGATTCCGAGAGTCGTTTTCGTCGCTCTGTCTCCCTCGCACTCACGGGGCGCCCCGTGTGGGAGCGAGAGAGACAGAGCGACGAAAACGACTCTCGGAATCAGTCTGCTGGGTTCGGTTGGCTCGGCCGTCAAGGTCGCCGCCGAGGTCGCCGCCGAGGCGACGCGCGAACGCCGCGAGCGGCACACTGGAGAAGGTATTTGCTAACGGGCCTTCAAGTGGCTACACTGCGGAGTTTCGCGCCCTGTCTCTCTCGCACTCACCGGCCGCCCCGTTGGCCTCAGGCGAGTGCGAGAGAGACAGAAGCCCGTTCGGCATCAGTCTCCCGACATCTCAATCGGTGATGAGAGGGGGGAGGGGGGGAGGGGAGCCGGAGGGTTGCATCGGCCACTGGAGGAAGACTGGCAGATGATATGCATTGCAAATGAGAGAGACACCACACAGGCCTACCCTCTAGTACACACGCACGCCAACACAAACACAGACACACACAGAGGCGAGCACCGATCGTGCGATGTAGGTGAGGAGAATTAAGACGAAATCAGGGTACAGTGCGGAGGTGCCCCAGCAAATCAAAGACACGTGCGCCCAGAAACACACACACACACACACGACGACTAGTGTAAAAGGACACGTCCGAATGCAATTTGCATCAAGGTGGCTCTGTGAGGCGCGTGAGGCTGGGCGTGACGGTGACGCGCACGGGGGTCTTGGCGGCGCGCGTGGAGGTGCGCCACGCCCTGCTGAGGCCGAGGTGGACCCGCCAGGCCCGCGCGCCGCGCAGCACGTGCTCGGGGTCCTCGTCCACGCCCAGCACCCGGGCCGCCGCGTCCGCGCCGCCGCCACCACCGCCACCGTGCCGCAGCCGGCCCTGCGGAACGCAAGGAACGCAAGGAACGTCGGGACGGTTGGCGGTCGCTCTCGAACCTCGAACCCCGGACCTCGCGACGCCACCCCACAGTGGGCCAGAGGGCCGGTGGAGGCGGCCAAAACTCTAGACGCGTTTTGAGCTCCAGAGTCGCTAAATGAGTCTCGAACCGAACGTTTGACCGTTTGCTCTCAGAACGAGGAATCCATTGGTGGGGGTCACACGTCCGGTTTGAGTCGTGCTTAGCGACTCTGCAGCTCGAAACGCGTCCGGGATTTTGACCGCCTCCCCCGGTCTCCCGGCCCGCTGCGCTCCCCCGTGCCAGGACGGTAAGGGCGGCCCGGCCCCCAGAAGTTCAAAGGCTCTGGTTCGAATCCTGAGCGCGGGGCGCTTTTCGATTTTTTTTTCTCTCTCGCATGTGATGTAAGGGCGTCCTGTTCAGGCCGAATGGAGAGGAGAGGGGCGGCATTGGAAGGGTTCAAGGGGAGATGGGGAGAAGGTGTATGGAAGACGGCCGACCGAGCGGCGAAGGGGGGGGGGCGTTCAGATTTCCCTCATCCCTTAATTGGACCACAACGGGCTGCTGCCCGCCGAGGAAGAGCGGGGGATGTTTTACAGTGGCGAAGCGCGGCCCGGCAAACCTCTAACTGCAGACTGATCCCGAGAGTCGTCGCTCTGTCTCTCTCGCACTCGTGGGGCACCCCGTGTGGGTGCGAAAGAGACGGAGACGAAAACGGCTCTCGGCATCACAGACCTGGAACAGGTTGTGGATCATCTCGCCGCGGCGCGCGCGGTCGCCGTGGTGCGTGCAGTCCGCGTCGTCCAGCCGCATGCGGTACTCGAAGTCGCGCGCCTGCAGCGGCGGCCCGAACAGCTGCACGCAGCCGGACAGCTGCGACGTGCTGCCGAGGGGAGGGGGTGAGGGTGCGGTGGCGCGGCGGCGCGGCGGGGAGTCGCACAGTGGGCCAGCAGACCGGTGGAGGCGGCCAAAACTCTGGACGCCTTTTGAGCTCCAGAATCGCTAAATGGGACTCGAATTGAACGTGTGACCCCACCAATGGATGGCTCTCCGAACGAGGGATCCGTTGGTGGGGTCAAACGTTCGGTTCGAGCCCCATTCAGCGACTCTGGAGCTCAAAACGCGCCTGGGATTTCGACCGCCACCCCGGTCTTCTGGCCCACTGCGGGCGTGGGTTGAGCGCGGACCTCGTGTTGACGAGGAAGTGCACGAAGAAGACGTGGCTGGTGACGTCGAGCAGGCGGCAGAAGCGCTGCCCCGCGGTGCCGCTGACGGGCACCCGCATGGTGACGGGCGTGCAGGCGCGGCCCGGCTTGCTGAGGTGTCCGTGGGCCGTGCGCGCGTGCGTGCGCAGCTGCGAGTCGGCGCCGCGCCACGAGCAGCGCGGCACGCGGCACGGCGAGTCCCGGTGCGCGCAGGCGGCCTGCTCGTGCGCGTCCATGTCGCCCGGCGGCAGCGCCACGCCGCAGCCCCTCGCCCGGAACCGGCACGGGTAGCGCAGCTGCTCGCACACCTGCGGCACGCCGAGCACGCCGAGCACGCGCAGCGCAGCGAGGCACCCCGACAAATTAACAATTTTATTTTCATTAAAAACGGAATGAAACCGGCGCACCTTCTCCATGGTGCAGTTGCGGGAGCGGCCGCGGCACCGGCAGGTCGGGCAGCGCCGCAGCCGGGGCTCGCAGTCTTTGCACACCAGGTGGCCGCGTGGGCACTGCCAGATGGGCGGTCGCATGGCCTCGTAGCAGACGGGGCACTCCAGGATCTCCAGCAGCGAGCCCACCAGGCCCTCCTGCTGTGGTGGCTCTGGTTGGAGTGGTGGCGGTGCTGGCTGCTGTGGAGTGCAGTCGGGCAGTTCCAGGGGAGGAGCCTGCTGCACCGCGTCGCTATCGCTGCCCTCGGCCTGGTCCTCCTCCTCGTCCTCTTCCTCCTCGTCCTCCTGCTCCCCGTCGTCGTCGACCTGCTCCACGGCGTCGCCCTGAGTGGACGCGTTGGACCAGCCCTCCGTCTCCTCTGTCGTCTGAGTCTCGCCGGCCGGGGCGCCAGTGTCCTCGCCGTCCTCGCCGTCCTCGTCCTCGGCCTCCTCCGTTTCCTCGCCGTCCTCGTCGTCCTGCTCCTCCTCGTCCTCCTCATCCGCTTGCTCTTCGTACTCGACCAGCTCTTCCTCCACCTGCTCCTCTATCACCTGCTCTTCTCCGGCTTGCTGGCTTTCCGTCTGCTCCTCCTCGTTGTCCTCCTCGTGCTCGTCCTCGTCTTCGTGGTCCTCCTCGTCTTCGTTCTCGTCCTCCTCGTTGGCCTCGTCGTCCTCCGCGGCCTCGTCCTCGTCCGCCGCCTCGTCGGCGAAGGCGGCACCGTCGGCCACGGGGAAGCTGTACAGCGTATCATCCTCGTCATCGTCTTCCTCCTCCTGCTCCTCCTCGTCCTCATCGTCGTCGCCGTCGTCGTCCTGCGCCATGTCGTCATCCTCCTCGCCGCTCAGCCCGAAGCTGGCGGTCGTCGGGAGGGTCGGCGTCGTGAGGAGTTGCCTGCGTGCACACGTAAGTCAGAGCGCGTCGCCGGCCGCGCACCGCGACTGAGCACGTCGCCGATGACGCACCACCAGGGGTACGGCGGCAGCGCGAGCGGGCGCGCCGCGATGTGGGTCTGCATGGGGGCGCCGGGCGCGTGGCCGCGGTGGCCCCGGATGGCGGTGACGTAGGCCACGATGGGCGAGCGGGACCGCGCGCGCTCGACGCGCTCCCGGCCAGTCAACAGGTTGGCGGTCTGGCGCCTGCCGGCGTGGTCCTGGAGGGGCAGGGGGACATGGCCACCACGGGGGTCCACGACGGCGTCCTCGACGGCGTCTTCGAACAGTGGGCCAGAAGACGAGTGGAGGCAGTCAGAATCCCGAACGTGTTTTGAGCTCCAGAGTCGCTAAAAGGGACTAGAACCGAACGCGTGACTCCACCAGTCGATACTCCCCTGCAACAAGCAGCTATCTACGCTCACTGTCTCGATAACCGACTATCTACGGGCGCTCTCCCGACAACCGGCTATCTACATGGGCTGTCTGGATAACCGACTATCCAACATCGTAGCGAGGTTAGGGTTGTCGTATAACGAAGTATTTTTCTCCATGACACTTAAAGCGACCCGTTTAAACCATACTTAATCTTGCTTTGACAAACTTTTGACAAGTTTTGGTAAAGGTTTTGCGACGGCAACTTAATTGGTTCGATAAATAAAAGCATTCAATCTCGCGAGGTGGAGAAAGCAGATAGACGGTTATCCAGACAGCTCGTGTAGATAGCCGGTTGTCGGGAGAGCGCGCGTAGATAGTCGGTTATCGAGACAGTGGGCGTAGATAGTTGCTTGTTGCAGGGGGGTATCGCAGTGGATTGCTAGCCGAACGAGGAATCCATTGGTGGGGTCACACGTTCGTTTCGAGTCCTGTTTGGCGACTCTGGAGCTCAAACCGCGACAAGACTTTTGGCTGCCTCCGCCGCACCGCCTCGGCACCGCCGCCGTACTCACGCTGGCCGCGACGGCGGACGCGACGGCGGTCGGCAGGCGCCGGTGCCGGCTGCCCCTGAAGGCCCTGCGCTGCCTGCGCTCGGCCGACCAGAACACGAAGCGCCCCGGCAGCAGGTCGTCGTCTTCCTCGTCCGAGGACGGCAGGTGCAGCCGGCGGTGGCCGCGGTCCTCCACCGCGTCTTCCGAAGAGTTCTCGCCGTCGCCGTCAGAGGACGCCATGGTCCACAGCCGACCGGGCCCTGCGTCGAGCGCTTGCCGATTTCTCATCCCGCCTCGCTCCACTTTTCATACGGCGACAATGGGTACCTGTTCGAGGCGGCTTGCCCTTGGCTTGCCCTTGGCTTGCCCCAGACCGAAAGCCCCTGCTAAAGCGGCGGCTCCGCCGGCAGACGCAACCACGTAGTTCAGGAACGAAGTGCGCTATCTTCTTGCCATCGCTGGGTTGCCGCGGTTACAAGGTATGACCCCGCACGCATTGTTGCTAACCACCGTGCCTCCTCCAAAAAGACCCAAGTTCAAGTCCACTTTTTAATGTTTCCAAAAGAAATAACGAAGCCAGCCGAGTGAGACAACAACTCCCCTTCCAGCCGCCCGTCGACACACTGTCGACACCGCGCCAGCAAGGGACGCCGCTGCCTCGCTCTGTCTCTCTCGCACATTTACGGCACGCTCCATGAGTGCGAGAGAGGCAGAGACCCCCACGGAACGACTCCACAGAGTTTCGCAGCCAGCCTGTTTGCTTCGCGAACGAATCCCCCTCGCGTCAATACTCTGTGCCAGTGTATATCTATTTCACTCTGTTTCACATTTTGCAGTGGCACGCTGAATAGAAATCAGAAATCCTGCGGGTAGCAGCTGTGGCCGCGGTCCGACCGGCCGGGCCGGGTCGAGCCATCGACGCCAAGTTTCTAATGCAGATTTAGTGTGCGCGCGCATACCCCGCGCCCCAGAGACACCGGACGGCCCAAACAAACGGGCGGGGGGTATCGACGCTCCGCCGGGACAAACCGCACGCCGCGCAATAATTGCAAGAGGAGAGAGCGATGCATCCGGTCAGCAATGGCCGATCTACATAGCCCTTGGGTACAAAGTCCGATCTACAGAGCGCTCGCCTACAATGACTGATCTACATAGAACCATTTTGAACAGACCGATCTGTTTTTCAAAGCTATTTTTCCATCTCTGTCAAAGTTAAAATACAACGTTCAAAATGTTGTTTTAACCTTTATATCGAAGTATGCTTATCATATTTTCTAATACAGAATGTTCCGAAATTTTACAAGTCGTACTTTAGGATTGACAGAGGTAGCAAAAAAGCTTTGAAATACAGATCGGTCTTTTCAAAATAGTTCCGTGTAGATCGGTCACTGTAGACGAGCGCTCTGTAGATCGGACTTTGTACCCAAGCGCTCTGTAGATCGGCCATTGCTGACCGGATGCATCGAGAGAGAGCGAGAGAGACAGACAGACAGACAGACAGACAGACAGACAGACAGACAGACAGACAGACAGACAGAGAGAGAGAGAGAGAGAGAGAGAGACAGAGAGAGAGACAGAGAGACAGAGAGACAGAGAGACAGAGAGGGAGAGAGGGAGAGAGAGATGTGTGCTACATTAATGAGACCGGGCCAGCTAACAAGCGAGGGGCGGGGGAGGGCCTCTCGCCCACAGGTAGGTGGGTCACTCCGCACAGCCCAGTACCGCAGCCGAAAAAAAAGAGAGAAAGAGGCGGGAATAAAAAATGGAGCGGTTAAACCTCGGAAGGGATCCCGCAAGGGATGAGCATACTCGAGCATACTCGACGAAGAAAGGCCTTGAAAAAATACGAGGATATCCCAGCCCTGACATGAACGTCGGGGGAGTTAAGAAATGAAGGACACTCGCACACAGGCAACCCGGGCAGCTCGCATGCGTGCCGGGACTGCAGACTGATCCCGAGAGTCGTTTTTGTTGCTCTCTCTCGCACTCACGGGGCGCCCCGTATGGGTGCGAGAGAGAGGCAGAGCGACGAACATCACTCCCGGAATCGGCCCACTGCCTGTTGCCAACGTACCCGCGCGGCCCAGCCCGTCCGTGAGTGCGAGAGAGAAGGCTCGTCGGGGTTGTTAAGGCAATAGAGCCACACAGATGAATGCAGAATGCAGGGACAGAGACAGAGAGCGGGAGACGCGGGATTGAAAATTGAATTCGGTTTATTAGGTACGCAGCATGCAGGCAGCCCAAAACCCTGTCGGCACAAAACTCGGTCGAGAGTAACGCAATTGGAAACTTGACGCTGTGTCGCCGTGCTTGCCTGTCGCACAGTGGGCCAGAAGACCGGTGGAGGCGGACAACATCCCGGAAGCGTTCTGAGCTCCATAGAGTCGCTAAACAGGACTCGAACCGAGCGTGTGACCCCGCCAATGATTGCTATCTGAACGAGGAATCCTGGTGGGGTCACAAGTTCAGTTCGAGTGCCATTTAGCGACTCTTGAGCTCGAAACGTGTCTAGAGATTTTTCCACCTCCACCGGTCTTCTGGCCCACTGTGCGTCGGTGTGCGCATGCCTTCGAGCGCCAGCGGCCCAGAGACATCCCGGCCGTCCTGGCCGCCCCCAGGTCGGACCTCCGATGAAACATTCGCCAATAACGCGCGCTGTATATCGGGCAACTCGACTCGGCGGCACGGACCTGGAACACACCAACAAAACCAAAGCGTCAGCCAAGAGTCGTTGCCCACTGTAAAAAAATAAATAATAAAAAGGAGTGCGTGGTTGTTGGCGGCCACCCGTTCGCGATAGCCTCGCACAGTGGGCCAGATGACCGGCGGAGGCGGTCGAGATCCCGGACGCGTTTTGAGCTGGAGAGTCGCTGAATGGGACTCGAACCCAACGTGTGACCTCACGAACGGATTCCTCGCTCGGAGAGCAATCCTGGTGGGGTCACCCGTTCAGTTCGAGTCCCGTTCAGCTTCTCTGGAGCCCAAAACGCGTCTAGAGTTTTGGCCGCCTCCACCGGTCTTCTGGCCCACTGTGTGGCGGGGCTACCTTGGCAATATCGCGACCTCCTCGGCGAGCGACTCGCAGTGGAGGATCCAGAAAGGGGCGGGAAGGGGAGCTTGTTGTTAACGAGCATTTAGATACGTGTTACGGTGTGGGCGCAAGTTGGTCGAGGCAAAGTGGTGGGGGCCAGGCCGGCCCGGCGGGCCAATCAGGAAGCGGCTCTGATCCATTACTGATAGGGACTAAGACTGTTCGGCTGGCCGCGCGCCGCGCAGGCCACTTGTGTACTCGCATTCGGGATAAGAGGTCCTTTGTAGGGTCCTCTGTTCGGGTTCGGCCCAGCGCGGGCGAGAAAGAGAGAGGGGAAGGGGAGGGAGGAAGGGAGAGGTGGAGAGCGAGAGAGAGACAGAGAGAAAGAGAGAGACAGAGAAGAAAGGAGGGGCGAAAGACGACTAGACCAATAGAACCTTAGTCAACCAACTATCAAACCAACAGCTATAAAAACACAAATATCCTTATTTTTGAAAATAACTTTCTTTGGTTGACGAACAGTACAAGTGAAACGTGAAACACAAACTACCAACGGAAAAAGTGTCGATCACATTTTACACTGTGCTGAGGTGACAGAGTTGACTGTGCAGTCACACAGCGATGGAGACAGCAACACAAACATTCCCATCCGGACGGAGGAGGGAGGAAAAGGGAAGGGAGGAAAAGGGCGGCCAACGAGGCTGACGTCGATTTGATTAAGAATGCGTGCGTTCCGATCGTCGTCACAGCGACCGAGCTAACAGTGCACAGTGGGCCAGAAGACCGGTGGAGGCGGCAAAAAAAGTCTGGACTCGTCTTGAGCTCTCGAGTCGCTAAACAGGACCTGAACCGAACGTGTGACCTCACCAATGGATTCCTCGTTCGAAGAAGAATCCATTGGTGGGGGTCACACGTTCAGTCGAGTACCGTTTTGCGACCCTGGCGCTCAAAACGCGTCCAGAATTTTTGCCGCCTCCACCGGTCTTCCACCCCACTGTGCAAGTGTCCCTCCGTCTGTCTCTGTCGCTCTCCCGTCCGTCGCGGGGGCGCCCCATGAGTGCGAGGGAGACAGATAGAGGAACGCGGTGGCGCCAATACGGACCGTTTTACTGCCTCCCTTGCAGCATTCCGGGCCGTAATGAAAACGCGACCAGATGCAAGCTCGAAGAGTGCCGCGGAGCGCGGAGCGAAAGAGAGAGAAAACAAACGTTGCTTTTATTATTGGACGGTGACGTCCTTCGAGCGACATTCCTTTCTGGAGGATACGTCTCTCTCTCTCTCTCTCTCTCTCTCTCTCTCTCTCTCTCTCTCTCTCTCTCTCTCTCTCCCTCCCTCTCTCCCGTCCTTGAGCAGCGCACGCATGACAAGGACAGCGTCATTCGTGTGTTCCTTGAGGCTGGAGACGGAGACGCTGCCTGCGCGCTCTTTTAGGGCATGTCCAGGGGATGTTCTCGGTGTGGATGTTTGGCGCCGCCACCAAGGACTCATCCCGTTTCTCCACGGCCTCCAACTTTCAGCCCCGTCCCGTCCCGCCCCGCCACAGAGTGGGCTGTTTCGCGACGACACTTAAAATCGTGGAGGACGCGAGCGCGCCGGATGGCTGGCCTCGTTTTATCTCGCTCCATTTCTCCCGAAAGAGGAAGAGGGAGGGAGAGAGAGAGAGAGGGGGGGGGGGGCGTTGCGTCCTCGCGAACCCTTCCTAGCCACATGGAAGGAAATAAGACAGGCAAGTTTCGATGGCCTAATTATCATAATTAGTCCTAATGAGTGCCGTGGATGCTTTACAGCCATACTGATACTTTGTCCGCGATGTGTAGGCCTTCCGGGACACTTGAAAAACTAAACGTAAAGGACAATTTTTTCAAATACAATTTGGGAAAATTGTCGTCAGCCGAGAGGAGCGGCAAAGACGGTTGGTGGTTTTCCCAGGAACTGCCAGGAAACTTCCAGGTATGTGTCTTCACTAGGCTCTCTGGGAAAACCAGGAAGCGATTTTGCTGTGTAGGGAAAGTGACTGTGAGGGCCGGCGCCGCCGGGAGTTTGAACCCGCGCTGCGAGTCTGGCGGCCCGCGACGCTGCCGACTGAGCCGCCGTGCCTCGCGAGACGCAAACCAATAACTGTTTCCAAATTGCGACGAAATGCACATGAGTCGGTCGGTTTCACCGCGCCTTCCTCAGACGAATATCGAGTCGGCGGATTGCCGAACGA